GGGGTTACCATGGTGATCATAGGACGGGGTTACCATGGCGATGGGGTGCATAGGACCGGGGTTACCATGGCGATCATAGGACGGGGTTACCATGGCGATGGGGTGCATAGGACTGGGGTTACCATGGTGATCATAGGACGGGGTTACCATGGTGATGGCCATCATAGGACCAGGGATACCATGGTGATCATAGGATGGGTTACCATGGCGATGGGGTGCATAGGACCATGGTTACCATGGTGATCATAGGGCTGGGGTTACCACGGCGATGGGGAGTGTGGGACCACGGTTACCATGGTGATCATAGGACCGGGGTTACCATGGCGATGGGGTGCATAGGACCATGGTTACCATGGTGATCATAGGACCGTGGTTACCATGGCGATGGGGAGCGTAGGACCGGGGTTACCACGGCAACGGGGACGTGGAGCAGCGGGGGTAACCACGGGGATGAGGGAGCTGGGTAACCATGGTAACAAGCATGCGCGGGGCGGGGGGAGGGAATGTGGTGACATGGGAGCAGGGTCACCGGGTGGGCAGGAGCGGGGTAACCATGGCAACAGGCATGGGCAGGGCCAGGGTAACCATGGCGACATGGGTGATGGTAACCACGGCGACAGGCACGTGTGGTGTTAGGGTAACCATGGCAACATGGGACCGGGGTAACCACGTGTGTGGGATGAAGGTAACCACGGCAACGCACGTGTGTGCAAGCAGGGCAACCATGAGGACACGCGTGTGCGGGACGGCGGTAACCAAGGAGACACGGGAGCTGCGTAACCATGGCAACATGGGACGGGGGTAACCATGTCAGGGCGTGCACGCAGGACCGGGGTAACCATGGTGACAGGCGTGTGCGGGATGAGGGTATCCATGATGACAGGGGTAACCATGGCAACAGGCATGTGCAGAATGAGGGTATCCATGACGACAGGCGTGTGCGGGCGGGGGGTAACCATGGCGACAGGCGTGTGCGGGATGAGGTATCCATGATGACAGGGGTAACCATGGCAACAGGTGTGTGCGGGATGAGGGTATCCATGGCGACAGGCATGTACGGGCGGGGGGTAACCATGGCGACAGGCGTGTACGGGATGAGGGGATCCATGATGACGGGG